CAATAGATGCTGAGAAAGCATTCAATAAAATTCAACATCCCTTTATGATTCAAACATGCTCAACAAATTGGGTATATTTCATACCTCAAAGTAATACAAGCCACGTATTAGAGAAACCCAAAGCCAACATCATAGTTAATGGGGAAAAATTGAAAATCCTTTCTCTAAGATCTGGAACTAGACAAGATGCCCACTTTCACCACTTTTATTCAATGTAATTCTGGAAGTCCAAGCCAGAGCAATTAGGCAAGAGAAAAAAATAAAGGGCATCTGAACTAGTAAGGAAGAAGTCAAATTAGACTTGTTGGCAATAATGTGATCTTATATTTAGAAAATCCTAAAAACTCTGCCAAAAAACTCTTTGAACTGACAAATTCAGTAAAGTTCCAGGATATAAAATCAACATACAGGCCGGGCGCGGTGGCTCAAGCCTGTAATCCCAGCGCTTTGGGAGGTCGAAGCAGGTGGATCACGAGGTCAAGAGACCAAGACCATCCTGGTCAACATGGTGAAATCCCGTCTCTACTAAAAATACAAAAAATTAGCTGGGCATGGTGGCGTGTGCCTGTAATCCCAGCTATTCAGGAGGCTGAGGCAGGAGAATTGCCTGAACCCAGGAGGCGGAGGGTGTGGTGAGCCGAGATTGTGCCATTGCACTCCAGCCTGGGTAACAAGAGCGAAACTCCGTCTCAAAAAAAAATACAAAAATCAGTAGCATTTATATACATCAACAGTAAACAACCTGAAAAAGAAATTTAAAAAGCAGTCCCCATTTACAACATCTAAAAGAATTTAAAATACGTAGGGACCAATTTAACCAAAGAAGTACAAAACCTATATAAGGAAAATTATAAAACACTGACGAAAAAATTGAAAAGGACACCAAAATATGAAAAAATATTGCATGCTCATGGATTGGAAGAACTAGTATTTTTAAAAAGACAATACTATTCAAAGCAATTTATACATTCAATGCAATCCTATCAAAACACCAATAACATTCTTCACAGAAATAAGAAAAATATCCTAAAATTCATATGGAACCACAAAAGACCCCAAATAGCCAATGCAATCCTGAGCAAAAAGAACAAAGTTGGCTGGGCACGGTGGCTCACGCCTGTAATCCCAGCACTTTGGGAGGCCAAGGCGGGTGGATCACGTGGTCAAGAGATCGAGACCATCCTGGTCAACATGGTGAAACCCCATCTCTACTAAAAATACAAAAAATTAGCTGGGCATGGTGGTGTGTGCCTGTAATCCCAGCTACTCAGGAGGCTGAGGCAGGAGAATTGCCTGAACCCAGGAGGCAGAGGTTGTGGTGAGCCGAGATCGCGCCTTTGCACTCCAGCCTGGGTGACAAGAGCGAAACTCCTTCTCAAAAAAAAAAAAAAAAGAAAGGCAAATATTTAGTGATAGACATCCCAATGTCTTGCTTTGATCTTTATACATATTAATCAAATTATCACATGTACCCCCAAAATATATGCATTATATATCAATTTTTTAAATTAAGTTAAAAATTATACTTTTTGCATGTAAAATAAGAGAATATGGGAGAAAAGAAATTGTAAACATCACTTAGGGACAATTTTTTTAGGAGTTTTGCTGTAAAGCAAAGCAGAGAAATGAGGTAGTGGCTGGAGAGAAATAGGGTGCAGGGTAAGAGGTTTTATTCATTTTATGGACAATATTATAGTGTATTTACCAGTATGCTGATAATTCAGTGCAAAATGAAAATCTTGAAATACAGAAGAGAGAAAATTCCCTCATTCATGCGAAAGGTGTTAACATTCAGGGTGCAAGAGAATTTTCTTAGGAACTAGGAACTAGGGCCAGTCACTCAGAACGGAAAGTAGAGTATACAGGTTCTAATGCAGAGAGGAGGGCAGATGTGCTTGTGAGGGTACAGAAGTTCTCTTTTCTCAGCACCAGAAAGCAAAGTCATCTGCGCTCAGTGCAATAGAGGAGTTGTTGGTGGCTTGAAAAGAGAGTAGAAGGCCAGGTGTGGTGACTCAGTCTGTAATTCCAGCATTTTGGGAGGCTGAGGCAGGAGGATTACTTGATCCCAGGAGGTGGAGACCAGCCTGGACAACATGATGAAACCTCATCTCTTAAAAAAAAATCAAAAATTAGCCGGGCATAGTAGCACAAGCCTATAGTCCCAGGTACTCAGGAGGCTGAAGTGGGAGGGTCTCTTGTGCCCAGTAGGCGGAGGTTGTAGTGAGCCAAGATCACACCACTAAACTCCAGCCTGGCTCAAAAAATAAATAAATAATGAAAAGCTGTGAAATAGTCACTTAGGAGAATGGATGGACTAAGAAATGTAGGACAGCCAGGCAGCATGAAGGGCCCACTTGAACTTAATGGTTATAAACTGAAAATGAGACCAATCATGCCAGCCATGTGGTTTTCTCAAACCATCTCTGCCACACAGGAGCAGGCCGGGAACTGGATTCAAGCAGATTTGGGTTTCTATCAGGAGAATAAAACCAAGAAAGACTAGGGCAAGAGTTAAGGGTAACTGCACATACACAGGACTGGTCATAACCATGGCCCATGGCCTCTTAAGTTGCATAAGGAGGGTAGTGAGCATATGAGGAAGTGAGGGTCAGGGCAAGGGTAGTAGAATCTAAATACAGAAGAGCTCTGTGGTTTTCCATTGAAGAATGAGGAGAGGAGTAAGGTCCAAGGGAGACATTTTGTGTTCCCCAGGCAAAAGGTAAGAGAGCATCTCTTAGGAGGAGACTGAAGGGGACATGGGCCTCTCCAAGCATCACAGGCTGAAATAATAGGCCCCCAAATATGTCCATGTCCTAACCCCCAGAAGCTGTGCATATTAATTTCTATGGCAAGAAGGATTTTTTGAAATGTGATCATGTTAAGGATCTTGATGTCAAGAGATTATCCCAGACTGGCCAGCTGGGCCTGATGTGATCACAACAGCTGTTATTAGAAGGATCCAGGAGGAGTCAGTGCCTGAGCATGTGATGTGATGATGAAGGCAGAGACTACAGTCATGCACTTTGAAGTTAAAGGAGCAGGCCACAAGCCAAGGAATGCAAACAGTCACTGGGAGCTGGAAAAGGCAAAGAAATATTGTCATCTAGAACCCTTCAGGAGGAGCTGGCCCCACCAACATTGATTTTAGCACAGTAAAACTGATTTCAGACTTGGCACCTCCAGAAGTGTAAAAGAATAAATGTTTGTTATACTACTAAGTCGGTGGTAATTTGTTGTGACAGCAATTGGGAACTAATACACCAAGGAAGGCGGAGGATATAGAAGAGAGGTCCAAGCAACAGCTCTTTCCCCTCCAAAATAAATCTGAAAGTAAGAAATTGGGGAAGAGACCAAACGGGTAGCTCTGTTTCACTCCGTGAGAAGTGAAAGAAATGTAAAATTTTGGCATAAACACCCTTGTGTGCGTTTAGGAGAGATGGCTGCTGGGTGCCACTTGTCTAATTCCCTCACCTTTTGTGTTTGTTAAGATCCCCTGTTTAAAATTGCAAAGTGCACCTCAGCCCTACACACTCACACACGCACCCTGCAACCCCCGACCCAGCTCTATGCTTTCGTACCACCACATGATGACACACAAGACACCATTTACTATATTTATGTATTGCTTGTTTCCACTAGAATAGGGAAGTGACTTTTGTGCAAGCATCTTGAACTGCTCCTGATACACAGTTGGCTCTCAAACAATATCTGTTAAATGTATAAACTTCAGAGGTGAGACTGAAGATGCAGAAAGCCAAGTATTCACTTCAGAACCGTTTGAAAGGTAAAGACGAAATTATGGGTATTTACGTCCTTTTCTCCTAAGGGTATTTTAACAAATGAAAAAACACCTTAACAGGCACTCCTAAAATAATTCTTACGCGTTTGTAATAAAAATTGAGTAGGAGGACTTGAACACACGCGTCGCTAACTCACAAAACTACAAAGATGGTGCCCCTGCCAGGAATCCCGCTCTGCGCAGCGCAGAGCGCCGGGGCCCGCACCGGAAGTAGGCGTGGCTCGCCCGCGGCTTGCTGGGACTTGTATTTCTAAGCCCTCGGCGCGCGAGGCGTCAGCATCCGGAATCTGGCCCTTGGAGGTGTGGGGTTCCACGTGGGAGGTGAGACGGGCAGGGCTGCCCCGGCCCATGGCAGAGGCGTTCAGGGGTCAGGAAATGGGTGTGCCGCGGGAAGGCGCAGGGCCGCCGAGCCGCGGAAGCCTAGAGGGCGGCGATGGTAGGGTATGCGAGCTGCGGAGGCGCGGCCCGCGGCGGCACGTGTGTCACGGCGCCGCATTTCCGAGCTGCTGCGCCCCAGGGGCCGGGCTGCGGCCACACTGAAGCCTGCTGGGCCCTGCGGCTGAGCGGCCGCGCTTCCAAGGGCCCCTCCTCTCACCTGGCCAAGCCCTGGCCTGGGCCGGCTGGGGGCTTCGTGATTGGCCACGCCGGCCTCTTTCTCGAATGTGACGGGCGTTATTGCAAGGGGTTTTCGGTGGACGTTAAGCGACGTAGCGGGGGTCCCGTGAGAAACTGAGGTGTCTGTCCGCAGCAGCACTGCCCTGGCTGAAAAGAGCTTGCATCTGAGTCCCCGCACTGCAGGAACCAGCGAGGCTCCTGAGAATGAGATCTGGGAAGGCGTTTTGGGCAACCGAAATCCATCCTGAGAGGCGGTCATATAACCCGAGAGCTCCTGCTCTTAACTAGAACTTTAGGGCAGAGATCAGAAAGTCAGAGGAAATGGGCATGACAGAGCTGCCGGCTGCTGCGGGATTTACTTAGCCTCTTGGTTTTAAGGGGAAGACTTGTCTTGTTTAATTGAAAGCACTGTGGAGAGAGGTGAAGGTGGTGACAGAAAAGGCGTCACCTCTCACCTAATGGAGGGAGTGCGAGAGGAAGGGTTGACTGACGAGGCGTCAGAGGCAGGAGCGGAGTAACTTTTTCCCTGCAGTCTTGCTGGGCTTGATTTTCATGGCTTTTTCTCTTTCCCTAACTGCCTTTCCAGGAATCCGTCCTCCCTGGGAGTAAGAAATGACCAAGATCTGGGTGAGTTGGCGTTCCATTTCTCCTAAAATGCCATCTCTCTGAAATGTCCCTGTGAGGTGCGTTGTTTTATTTATTGTCAGGCCCCAGAACGGTGTTTTATAGTTATGGGTGTATGGACATTAAGATACTAAGGGCATGTAGCTACCAGATGATGTCACCAGGCTCTGCACAGATAGTTTTCACTCACCTTGCCTCCGTGAATTTATTCCGCTGCTCAGAACACTGGGCTGTGCTCTCACGGGAAGCCTCTCAAAGACTACCTTTTCCTGCCAGACATTTCACTCAGGTTGAAAGTCATTCCAAGCTATTCCATACTCATCCCCGTGCTAAGCGGTCTCAGCAAAACAGATAGAATGATAAACCACCGTGCTTTTCTTCAAGGAGCTTACTGTCTTGATGAGCGTAATATGTTACCTGTACACAAAAAGTATGCATATTCATAATGATCATTTATTAACTGTGAAAGAGTCAAAAACGAGGAAATGTGTTAAATGGCAGCACAGTGGTTAGAAAATCACTCGTAGAAATGCTTTTCAACCAGGCTATGCATCAGAACTCTGTGGCGTTTTTTTTGTTGTTTTTTTTTTTTTTTTTAATTTTTTATTGGATTATAGGTTTTGGGGTACATGAGCAGAGCATGCAAGACAGTTGCGTAGGTACGCACATGGCAGTGTGCTTTGCTTTTCTTCTCCCCTTCACCCACATTTGGCATTTCTCCCCAGGCTATCCCTCCCCACCTCCCCCTCCCACTGGCCCTCCCCTTTTCCCCCCAATAGACCCCAGTGTTTAGTACTCCCCTTTCTGTGTCCATGTGTTCTCATTTTTCATCACCCACCTATGAGTGAGAATATGCGGTGTTTCATTTTCTGTTCTTGTGTCAGTTTGCTGAGGATGATGTTCTCCAGATTCATCTGTGGCGTTTTTTTAAGAACTAAGCTTCATCCTCTCTTTTAGACAGAGTGAAAGGAAGAGTTTCACTCTTTTTTTATTCTGTTGATCTTTGTACATCCAAAGGTTTATTGTGAAGTATCTCCCTATACACTTGATCTAAGTGTCTCTAAGGTAGGTCAAATGACTTATTCATCTTTTATACTCAGGTTTTGTTCTCTTTCATTAAGATGTCTACATATTTAACTGTTCCAATAAAAATTACCAAGTCATACTTTTTTAAAAAGAGAGTTCTCATTTGTCTTGGTAAAACCATCTGTAGGAGGTTACCTCAGAATTAACCCTTAGACTCCCAGGGTGTTTGAGATGGTCGGCCCCCACTTTGCCCTGTCCTGGCATTTTATGGTGGAGAGCTCGAACTCTGAGGGAGCTGACGGAAAGCGTCTTGTCCTTTGTTGCAGAGAGCAGCAAGCCAGAAGTAAACCCTGTGTTTTCTAACTTCAGCCTGTTCTTTCTCCATTAACTAAACAGGCCATCACACCAGAAGTGTTTGGAATAAAATATCAGACTAGGTTTTAAGGGGGAAAAAAATTGATTTTTAACACTACCAGCAAAGGCCATCTTTTTGCTGGTCAAATACAGCCGTCACACACACGAGCTCTTAGAAAAATCTGTTTTGGAGGACAGTAAGCTGTATCGGGGTTCTGAGAGCATGGCTTCTCTGTGGCCTCAAAAGTAACTGAGGACTTCAAGAGAGGTTAACCTGAGTAGAATCCATATATTTTCTTTCCTTCGCTTCTGCCTGTTCCCTGTTGCCGCTACAACTGGGTCTTGCGAGTTTGGTAAATTTTGAGATTCTGGTGTGTGTTTTCATTTAAAAAAAGGACTTCATTTCAATCACTGAGTGTTTTCTATGTACCAGACATTGTCCTTAGGTATGCTGAAAGGCAGGAGTCTTAGTTCACCTCTCCCTTCCTCCGTGACATTGGATAAGTCACTTCACCCTATGAACTTTGGTTTTTCGTCTATAAGCTGAGGGTCTTGGGTTTTACTATCTTTATGTTTTCTTTTAGTTGTATTATTATTCATTTAAATTGAATATGAATCTATATTTGTCTTTCAGATTCCAAGTCAATTGTGCTCGCTGGGGATTTAAAGACAAGTTGAGGACAGGCATGGTGGCTCACAACTGTAATCCCAGCACTTTGGGAGGCTGAGGCGGGAAGATCACCTGAGGTCAGGAGCTGGAGACCAGCCTGGCCAACATGGTGAAATCCCGTGTCTACTAAGAATAAAAAAAATAGCTGGGCATGTTGGCAGCTGTAATTCCAGCTACTCGGGAAGCTAAGGCAGGAGAATTGCTTGAACCCGGGAGGTGGGGCTTGCAGTGAGCCAAGATCATATCACTGCACTCCAGCCTGGGCAACAGAGTGAGACCCTGTCTCAAAAAACAAAGATGAGTTGAGTGTGGCCCCATCCTTCAGAATCTTACAGCAAACTTGGGAGACAGATTTGATAGCTGTAATAAAGGGATGCGAAAGATGCTCTAGGATCTCAGAGGAGGAGTAGAATTCTAACTCATCCCCATGCTTCAGAAAGAGGGTTATTGATTGTCTTGAGACTGAAAGCTCTTAAATGGATGGGAGAACTCCATAAGTCAGGGCATACTGTGGAAAGGACTGTGCTAAACTCGAGTATGATGTGTTAGATGACTCCAGGTAATCTAGTGTGCCTCTTCCTGCTTTTCCATTGCAAAGTAAATTGATAGATACAGCAGAGACAGGCTCTGCAAAGAAGTGGAAGGCCCCATGATGACATGTATATAGTTCTGAGGAGGTTGACATTTGTCTGATAGAAACAGGAAACAATTGATCTTGTGACTTTCCTCTTCAATTGGCCTTTAGAATATTGAGTCTACTCTCCCCACTGTAAGCAGGAGTGCAGCGTTGGAGTGAATCCTTAGTGCCACTGACACCTGAGAAGACTTGATTTTTCAGTCTTTCAGTCCCAGCTTTGTCTTGCTTTAACAGGAGCACTATTTCCTTTCCTTTTCTCCCTTCCCTTGTCACAGTGATTCCTCTTATTTGGTCTGTTCCTGTCATTTTTTTTACCTACCACCAAGTTAGTAATCCATCAGCATGTCCTTTCCCTTCCCAGCATGGAATCCCAGCTGCCACTTTATCTTCAGGACCTTAAGAAATTAATAACTCTGATTGTCTAACCTAGGGACTAAAAGATGACAAAAATTGTACTACAAAGAATTGGTAAAGAGTTATTCTGGCCTAGGTAAGAAAAAAAATAATCAAGAGTCTTACTAAGACTGGTAGTGGAAATGGAAAAGAAGTAACACACTGGAGGGAAATTTAGGAGGTAGAACTGACAGGATCTAAAATGGCTTGAATATTGTTGAGGTAGAGAAGGAAAGTTAGACAATCCAGATGGCTGGATGGAAGACAGATAAAAAACAGAGGAGATAAAAGTTATTGATGGGCTTGCATCTCTGAAGATAGAAGGGATTTGATCTAGAATGCACAGGAGAGATTAGCCTTAAACAGAAAAACTTTTTTCTCTGTGGTCTAAAGAGAAGGTCTGGTTGTGAATAGCGGCCAGCCCACTCACTTGTAATACGCCGTCATGCCTTGCTAAAGGATATGGTGATGGAGCTTGAAGGCAGCAACCTTTGCCTCTGCTTGTTTGTCCCACCTTTACTCAGGGGCTTGAGGCTTCTCTTCCAGCCCTCTTCCTCAGAGTGGAGACCAGTGACCTTGAACAGAAAGCCTGGGAGAAAGTACCCATCCTTACCTTTATCTTTACCCTCATTCTTCCCTTCCCCACTGGTGACGAGTTGGGTAAGTCATGTCACTCCTGCAGCGCAGGCCCAAGGAAGGAGGGAGTGGTGCCTCTTTAGACTCAGGCCCGAATTTATGAGACGGCCCTTATGACTTTTTACATATTCTATCACTCTGCTTTTGAAAATGTGCCTTAGAGAGTGGTGCCTCTTTAGACTCAGGCCGAAGCTGGCTTAGCTGATCGAATTTATGAGACAGCCCTTATGACTTTTTACATATTCTATCACTCTGCTTTTGAAAATGTGCCTTAGAGAGTGGTGCCAGCCCATGCACTGTGCAGATATAAGTACTAAAATTGAGAACTTGAAAAACAAAAACAAAAACTGGTTCTTCACCACAGGATGTTTAAGAAGCATTGTTTCATCAGACAGAGCCCTGGAGGGAACCAGATTTGCTGACATTGACTGAATAATTTGGACTCCTCTTAAGTCGCAGGCCCTATTTGAGGTTTTGAGGATGCAATCATGAACAAATGAGGCAGCCTCTCTGTTCTTGGGGAACTTAGCTCTCAGTGGGGAGAAACAGTAAATAAGAAAGCAAGTGAATAAATAAGAAAATAAAATGAGGCACAAGTCGTAAGAAGAAATTAATTAAACCAGGAAAATGATAGATACAGGGTACACCTGTGGATTAGATGGTCAGGACATGCTTTCTGAGGAGGCGACAGTTGGGCCGAGAACTGAATGATAAGGAAGGGAGAGGGCAGCTAGCACAAAAACTACAATGAATTTGATGTGGTTTAAGGGCCTGCTGGGCACCTGGTGCTGAGTATGATCATAAGAGAGGCCATGGTTGGGGAGGTGACAGGAGAGCCTCACGGGCCAGGATGAAGACTCTGGATTTTACTCAGTAGCCCCTGAAAAGCCTTTGAGAGTTTCACACTTGGCCTAGTTTTTGTTTTAAAAGATCACCTTGGCTGCCATGTGGAAAACTCATGTTTGGGGTAGCAAGAGTAGAGACAGATCAAGCAGGAGGTTGGTGCAAGTGAGACACATGCCACCCAGGCGTGGAGAGGTGACAGTGTGGGGAAAGCTGGGTGGATGTCGATACGCCTTAGAGGTAAAGGAGGTGGGTGATGGCTGAGATGTGAAGATGAGAATGAAATGACTTCTGGGATTTTGGTTTAAGCAATTGAGTGGTTCTTGTGGCTGTTTACTAAAATGGGGACGATCTGGGGAAGGGCAGATGTTGATGGAGATTGCTGGGAGCAGGAGTTCTGTTGGGGCCTGTTAAGTTTTTTGTTTGTTTGGCCTACTGCAGCCA